GCCCTCTCCCCTGTCCGTTCCGCCAGTCAGCGCTGGCAGAGCGGGGAGGGGGGAATCCAGCCCCTCCCCTGTCACGGCAGAGAGCCGTGATAGGATCAAGAGGTGAGCGAACGCCGGTATATGTTCGCTCACCTCCCGATCTACTGAGCCGACCTGTGACAGTCTCAGTGTCACAGGTCGGCTAGAACTACGAGGTGAGTGAAAAGCGCTCACCTCATAGTTCTGGTAGGGCTTAATATATCATAATTATGAAGCTACTTTATTGATGTCTGTATCTGCACCAAATGTGGCATGTGTTCTCTTTTTGGTGTGTACATATTGAAGTTTAGAACTCTGCTTCCTTCTACTTGCACTAAATACACTTCACACTAAATAGAGCATTCCGGTGCGTTTAGTGCAGGTTATGTAGCAGCGCACACTAATGCTACAGTAGGGATTCATGATCCCTTAACTGACACAACAAATGCAATTCATAGCACATAGTGGAAATGCCAGTGTGTACCTTCTCTCATTGAATTTAAGGAAGTGTGTGGAGATTTTGCAGTGATAATTGCATTGTTAACCCTTGTCTTTCTTCTTCCTGCAGATGATTTTAGGAGAGGCGTTGTCCGTATATTATAATCAGTTGCAGTCTAATGGCTTCATCAGGAATCAGTATGTAGCAACCATTTACAAAGCCATCGGGACATTCATCTTTGGAGCCGCAGCCAGCCAGTCACTAACCGATATCGCCAAGTTCACTATAGGTCGCCTCAGGCCTCACTTTCTGGATGTTTGCAAACCCAACTGGTCCAAGATCAACTGCAGTGCCGGCTACATTGTGAACTTTGTATGCGAAGGGGATCCTGTGAAATCCAGCGAGGCTCGGTGAGTGTTTATTCATGTGTATTTTTGTTTTGTTTTTGTAGCAGACATAGGACCTGTGTCATCAGGCTTTTGTTGGCATCAAGTGGGTTTTGCATTTCCATACAAGCCTATGGGAATTTAAAATTAATTTGAAGCAGGTCAAATGCAGGTCAGAAGGAATTCTGAAGGACCTCAGAATCATGTAAAACTGATGCCATTGACACAAACCTAAAGCCCGCTAACAAAGGCCCATACGCAGATCTGATAATTGGCCTTCACACTTGGGTTATTGGGCACTTTATTGCACCACAACACTCTGCTCTAGCAAAGAGTCCTACATAGTGGTTGTGTGTACACCAGAGATAAATTCAAGAAGTATTTTTACCTTTTAGGCCTTTTAGGACATGGGAGGCCAAGGGCTTTATAAAATAACATTTTAAATTTTATTGTTTATGGACAAACAGGCTTCAACGTATTTTTGGTCAGCTGCAGTTCACCTCTAAACTCATTTATACGACACTGTCTTATTCTTCAAAGAACATTAAAGTAGTACTAAGTGTTAGGTGTTTTTTTTACCTTAATGCATTCTCTGCATTAGGATAAAAAATGCTAAGCACATTTCCATGTCACCTTGTCCCCATTGTCACCCCTGCGGATCAGGGAAGATATTGCTGTTCCCCAAACTGGTTCTGAGGGTACTGAAAGCAGAGGAGCCGTCGGTCAAACTATGACTATGGGAGCGGTGAAGGGAGCAGGTTTGCTGCATGCTGTGTGTGTCTACGGACGCACACAGCTAGGTGTGGGTCACAGCTGGGAACATGCACACATGTGTCTCTTCAGCATCCGGCTAGCTAGGTAGAGTGGTTTGGGGACCAGCTAGAGGAGGGGCAAGAAAAGCACTTTAAAGAAAAAGAACACCAAAATCATTTAAGTGTGGGCCTCCCCATCATTAAAGAAAAAAACCCCCAAAGGTTTAATATCACTTAAATGCATCTATCCCTGCCCCACAGCATCTTGCAGTCTATTGTATGCATCATAATCAAGCAGACACACACACACAACACTGGGAAAATTGGAAAGAAACTAAGTAACCTGCCAGTATTTTTTAGAAATGTGGGAGGAAACCAGAGAATTCTCAGTGCTATAGAAATGAGTGACATACAGCATTTACAGACTTCTTCTTGACCATCTGCTGTGCTGATTGCTCTGTGAGTGCCTGAGAGCTGTCACAATGTGCTTAGCAGACTCACTGTCTACAGGGCTCATTGATCGACATCACTGACTGTTCAGCCAGCTGTTTTTTTCCACCACTCAGTAAAGGCCTTAGAGATTTGAGTGAGGTTCAGCATGGTTTATTCTTCTTTTGTACCACAATGAAATCCTGCAGTGCAGGAACAAATGCCTATTTCAGAACTACACTGAATGAAAATCCAGAACAGCTTTCACAATATTTATGAAATGTATTGCCTAAAGTTGAGGTTTATAAGCTGACTGTAGACATGTGATGGCAATCAGGGTTTTGTACATGATCAGATAGCTGAAACTCTTAGGACAGGTTTAGTACATAGACGTGCACACTCACATTACCCACATATGTGTGTGCATGTGGACACTGCACATATTCCACACCCAGCAATGTGCCAGTATCCTTCCTTTATTATTTTCAGATTCTTTATATTCGCAAGAACAAATAACATATGGACGTATCCTGGAAACCAAAAGCTTGCGTGCATGGAATACAATAATTATGAGCCAATGTGAACAAAGGCAGAATTGTACAGGGTACCAAGTTATTAGAAAATGGTGTTATTCAGAACCGTACATAACATGAAGAGTTTTTCCTTTTTTTTAAAGAATCAGTAGGGGAGTGAACATAGGAACCAAGGTGCAGAGATTTCATGAGTCCATGATAGAGGAGACGTGATCTGCCAATATGTGCCTAAGCCTAAAGCTAATATATCCGTTCGAGGGACTGACCTTTTAACAGTATTTGCTGCTAAGAACATTCTGTCCATGCTGGCCCATACTTGAGCTAGGAAGTATCAGGCAGCCATCCCTTTTAGACATATACAGTATACAACAGCAGCATAACTAAGGAAGCAGCTTTCATCTGGTAAAGAAGGTAAAATATGTTTATTTTGTCCGTTGCAAGCTTTCACCTGAATCAGATTCCCAGTTAGTCCCTGTTCACACTTTGGCATTGTGTGAACGGTCACCAAAGTGCGCATTTGTGCAGTGCTTTAAAAACCTACAAAGTGCTTGTGGTGCCATTACTTGTTAATGTTACCCAAGATGCGTGGGATGTTCGCAGCTGAAAATATTGCATCAGCTACTTTGTCACGCATGCGGCAGCACATTGAATGGACTGATGCATGGAAACGGCTGCAAAGGCGCATGAACATTCATGCATCGTGAAGCGTGAATAAGACCATAGTGTCATGGCCTTTTATTGTATATACAAGGTAAGCTCCCAACAGTCTCTTATTGGAACCAAATGTCTTTGCCCATCTTTCCTCCTTTTAGTTGTTCTCTTTTTGGTCTGATGATGAACACTAAACATTTTATTCAACCTTTTAAGTGCAACAAAGGCCAAAACTAAATTTTCTAGATTTGGCTGTAGTGGAGAGGGATTAGAACACTAGTCAGGTTTTTGTTGCTGTCTGTTTCCCCATTTAGGAGATTCACCCTCTCTATTTGTACAGGTGATGTTATCACTGAAAGTAAAAGAAAATCACAAGTTTTGGGTTGTCACCTAAACAAGAATAGATGGGAAATCTTCCAATGGAGACACTAGTTCTGGTGACCCTGAAGACCACCAAGGACGTCCCTTTCCTTGTAGGGATTTCCTCTTACTTGCTCTTGTGGCTATCGGACAGGAAATGAAGGCAAATCTCCCTAAATGGGACACAGATGGCAAACAAAAGCTGACAGGGGTTATAACCCTCCTTCACGCTCTCCAAGACTAAAAAAGTTTTGGCCTCAGCTGCATTTGTTATTTTGAAAAGGCCATATAACAGAAATGTAAATATATGGGCTTAATCAACCATTTTATGTGTAGCTTTTAATGGTACATATAACGGGGGTCAGTGGTTTGTTCTTATACTTTTTACTAAAAGGTGTTCCTCTTTCTCCCTTCAGACAGTTGAGAGGTAGACACATACAGGCTTTTTTCTAGTACAACTGCAAAAGAAAGGCTTTGAAACTTGGCCCCATCCAAACTGTGATATATTGCTGGGCTAATTCTTGGCACGTGTCTCTCTGGCTTTCAGGAATATTGGGGTGCTGGGCCTGTTACTATAATTATATGTAACTTGACCATTGGTGTGGTTAACTTGATATTACAAGTGCCTTTTATTTCAAAGGGCTGCTGTGAGGGGCTCAGAAACCCTGCTAACAGTATTAATAGCAAACATTCCCCAGTGTGTCTGGAGGATTGTCAGCTTAGCTACATTTCTAAAGAAAAATAATCATTTTATGGTCTTGTGTATCAAGCTTCCAGTCCTGTGCCCAGTGTGGGAAAGGGATATTGCAATCAGGATATCAGAATGGAATGATGGTTCTCTCTGGAGGTTTTGTCCCACTGAAGCAGCGGGTATCACTTACAGTGCTGACATTGCTACTTTGAATCAAGACTTCCTTAGACATTGTCTGCTATGGTTTATGGCCTGGCAGCACCAGTCTTTTTAGAAGGAAAGCGTTTTTGTTAAAGCCCAAATCTAGTTTTTTTGAGTAGCATGGTGAGAAGTTATTATTATTATTATGCAGGATTTATATAGCGCCAACAGTTTGCGCAGCGCTTTACAATATAAGGAAGACATTACAATCACAATACAATTCAAGACAAGATGGTAAGGAGGGCCCAGCCCCTGAGGGCTTACAATCTAAAAGGGAGGGGCAAGTGATACATGAGGAGGTTAGAACATTTGTCAGGTCCTGGTAATTACACAGGAACTTAGTAGAAATTTCGCATAATTAAACACAACAATTAAACGTTATTACTTATTCATAAATTTATTTGCTGACCACCTTCTGTAACTACTAGTTCCTTGGCTATCATGATTATCCAGTGTCTTTAGTGTTTTCTGAGTCATTGATCCTGAACAGGCATTCGGACAACGTTCAGACAGGTCCGCCCGTCAGTTGTTTTTTTTGGCCAGTCGTGATCGGAAGCTCAATGTTAGCCTATGGGGAGTTCCACTTTGTGCATTTATTAATTTTTTACATTAGATTGCTGGTGCAATGGACAGGATCCTGCAGATTATTACACCACCCCCAAGTCCGTACGGGGGGCCGAGCCTTCAGATATTGAACTGGAGGAAGTTATCAATGGACTACAAGTGCAGTGACGTCACCACATTTGTGCTCCATTGAGATCTACGAGTGCCTTTGCCAATGCTGACAGATGGGACTTGTAGCCTTTTCATTCACAGATCCTAAATTTTAAAAAAATCACAAGATACCGCGAGGAGAAGGACCCTGCAAATCAGTAAAGGGGGGGCTTCGGGTTGTTACTATAATTTATGGTATACCCTAAATATGGGTGTAAGATAAAACATGGTCCAAAAGGTGGAGTTATCCAGTGAATCATCATTAGAGCCAAGCAAATAGTATTATTTCCATTGGAGGTCCGAGATAGCAGCCTACATATTTCTCCCGGTATAGGTTTCTTTTCAGTATAAACATTCTTTATTGAAATTATTAGCTTCATTTTATATGGAACCTGTTAATGGTCAATAGCGGATTTTCTTGCTGTTTAACGAGTCTTGCAAGCCCTTTGGCAGAATATAAACTCCTTGACGATATTTGTTCTTCCTGCTTACAAGGCCGGTAATCTCTTTCCCATAGATGACACGGATTCCCCAGCGGCATTTAAACGCAGCTCGACACAAGGCAGAATTTTGTTGTCATGATTTAAAGCCGGGCAGTTTGACAGGCGACTGTTATCGGCATCTGGCCGCGCAATCACTTAGGATTTATGCGGCCAAATATGGCGCTGTTGGAAATTTCGATTCAAAATAACA